CGCCTTGGCCAGCTCATAGGGCATCGTGCACCTGTAGCCGCATGTTAGCCGTGTGCGCCAGCCAGGTTCGTTCAGCTGTCCGTTATGACCGACGTATCCCATGTCAACAACTGATCAACGCCACGGCCTCTCTAGCAAACCGTCTGCTGTTTAACAACAAACTTGGAGGATTTTTTTGCCAATAATGAACGTGGATTACGCAATTTTAACTGGTAACAGCAATTATCAAGAAAAATTGTTTACAGGAATATACATATGTGGATGCATATTTTGCATCCGCAGGGGCCATGTAGAATCTTAGAATGTTCAATATTTCAGCTGGAAAACTATCTCGAAGTTTCGTCCATTGTAAGTGAGTCATCTCGTTCCACAATTCGCGGTTTCTCATTACATTAGACAACGTAGTGACAGTTGGTGTCTATTGACCTTGAACATTTGCTCACTTAAACAAATCAACAATGTAAATAATTTCCAATAATACATCAACGCATAGATTGTACATAGAATTCTACACAACGAAGTGGCAAGCCTGAAAATGTTGTAGCTTTCGAGAAGTCAAATGCCTTGTGTGAATACTGCACGGCCAACTTTGAAAGCCCAGAGTTTCGGCGAAAGCAATTGGGTGTGATTTTAGTGAGCGGCCTAATCGTATTGTCCAATAACATTCGAGGCATCCGTTTGGTCTTCTGATTTGTCCATTTTCTCCTCGTGGATTGTTCTGGTCTGCCGGCCCTTCTGAGTTTCAGCGGATATCTTGTGTGATTTGGCAGCTCGAATATCTGACATGAATATATAAGTTTTTTGTGTATACTAAACATCCTAAACTAACCCTTGGTGCTATGTTTCTAACAGTTTACCTGCGGTAGGTCGTGTGTTCACCGGATTCTACAGTAATTTTATCAGTGGTACTGGGAACTCCTGGCCTGGTGCTCGAGTGTTGTGGCGTAGCGTATTCACTGAGTCTCGTGAGGTCCAACGTAACAGCTGTTTGCCTCCCCGATCGAATGGGGGTGAGTCCCGCCGTTACAGTCGAAACAGGGAGCTCTATGATGACCAGGTGGATGTGCATGTGACAAACGTTCCAAACGACTTTCATACCTAATTCCAACAAAGTTACCGGAAGGTTTTGGGCTTTTACTCAGCTGTTGCAGCAGTGGAAGTGATTTAGTTATAGGCCGCACCCTCTGGGCGAAGCGTTGTGGAAACTGACATATTGGCTTAGTTAGATACTCGCTGTTCCCTTCGTGTTGTGTGTCAGACTGCTGTTCTTCTATATGATGGACCATTCTGTGTCGAATTTTCCAGTCTGTTTGGTCGGGTTCAAAGTGGTTCTACAGAATGTGAAAACTTTTGTTTGTGGGGGGGGGGATCACGTCACTAGTTAGTACACTACCTTCATGTATGAACGTTGTAAGGGTGAAATGCGTTCTTTTCATCCCTAAAAACATCATGTTTTGTTCCGTGCGCTTCATACTTGACAACGGACTATCGTGGTTTTTCAAATCGACGGCTATTGAGTCCCAAGTCTCACTTTTTCAGATGACAAAAGTGCGGCGTCAGTATTTACGTTCCGAGTTTGATTAAATTCTAAAACGATCTACCAAAACAGCTTTTGTCATCCTGCATCACCTGTAACGCAGGCGTAACTTCGACCTGTCGGACAGCGTCGAGTTTACATTTCTGCGGAGCCTTCCATATTGTTATACGGGACATAAATCTCACCGCTGTGCACGGAGTAAGTAAATAAATTTCACTGTTTGACTAAAGGCGTCTTGGGATTATTGTCCGAGTCTGCTGGGAACATCGGTTTTGTAATGCTGAAATGCGTGCAATGGCTTTCGATGGCTAAACTATGCACAGTCTATAGGGTCACGTGCTCCGTACACCGGTTGACCGGCTTCCTCAAAGTGCCTTTTTAGCACAACCACGTGAAGGTTAGAAACGAGCCAGGGGAGGTCAAGCAATGAAGTTTATTTAGATTCCTTCTTTTGGCTCACAAACCATGCACCGAAATGCGGTTTTTCAGGCTGCTGTACCTTCTTTCGCCAAAGTTGAGGAGAATAAGGGCCACACATTAGAGGCAATGGTCCAGTTTGTGAATTGGTGTTAAATGGATCCGTTTTGCAAGAAATTAAAGACACGCAGTGAAGGCGATGCAAGGCCGCTATTGCTTGCATAGCACACCCATATCTGATAGCGCCACTAACCATTGATCCCGGTCCCCATCCGGGAAGACGGCATTTACCAACGCGACTGAGTAGACGGGTAAGGTCTTCCGTGCTTGGTTGCCAGGTCATGGACTGACCGCCTCTCAGTGGCTGGATGAATTAGTCTGTATGAGGTAAATGGTCGAAGTATATGCCCTAACCAGTGTAACCCATGGATTGTGATTGATCGAGCGAGAATGAAATTTCCCGAGAACCATGTGACGTGCGTCAGTATTACTAACCCGATCTTCCCGCAAGACGCCCTCAATTATTCGGAAAAATTGACGGCCAAACACAGCAAGCCGTTGAAGATCTTCTGATTCATAAGGTAGAACAGATTAAACCTTATCATTGTACACTCATGTTTGCGCTACAAATATCGGAGATTGACAAGCGCCGGCTTGATATTCCCATTTCGGTTAGTGATTTCATCTTTCATCAGTCCACCTAGACTTCCGCTGCTGCCCAGTTAAACGTACTCATCTACTACATCGATTGATTCGCTTGCAACCCTGAGGTCGAGCTTATCTCGAAATGCCTCAGTTGTTAAGGAGTGAACTTGCCGATCGGAAGGTCCGGGGTTTGACGCAGACGTCTGAATATTGACTGCTCTTGTCTGGCAGTACCTCGGCCCTCAAGCTTCCTTCGGGCGGCGTGGCAGCTAGGCGCCACAAATGGTTCATTTATTTTTTTAACACGCGGTCTGGGATTGACCTTACCTAGTCTGGCAGCAGCACTTTGCATTTTATAGATGCGAAGTGCATCCCGAACTGTGTAGTAAAGCTATTTTATTTGGGGTAGTGTGCACTTGTGAAATTTCTGATTCAAGAAGAACCCTGTCGTCGGCCTACCCAGTTTCTGTGAGCGAACATCCCAGCAATATTTCGATCTTCGACGTGTCAGTGGTGGGCAAAGAAGGTCCAAGTAGTATATCGAAGTTGAACAACAAGGCGACAGAGGACATCCTCGCCTGGCACCACTGGATTTAGTGAACTAAGCAGTTAATTTACTGTATACACGTACGCCCGCTTCTACTAGAGGTAACAATTTAGAAGGTATACCTTTTATCGCCACGACGACCAGCGGAGTTAGAATCGGATCTGAGGTTAAGTAGAACGATCACTGTTGATCGTCAGAAGTAGTTTCGCAGCTCCGTGCTTGTAGGGCGAAGATATGATCAGCTCAATCGAAATCCCGATGGTGCGTCAACCTGCATAGGATAACACGAGAGAGCTTCTTGGGAGATATAGCCACTAGATTGACATCACAATAGTTTTTGGTCGACGTCTGCAACCTTTTTGAATGTGGGATTCAACGTTGAGGCACTCCATTCTGTCGATATTCATCCCTCACTTCAGGTGCTTTGGAGTAAATTCGTCAAGATAGCCTCGAGGTACTCGCCACCTTTGAACAATGAGGGATGCCAGTCATTTGGACCTGGTGCTTTGTTGCGCTGAAGCAACGAATTACAGTCAGGACTTCCGTTGTCTGTGGCGGACTGGTGTCTAGGTTTCACCCCAGTTTATTTGATCCTTCGAGAGAGTGAGTTGGTGGAGCCCAGCTGAATTGTTCTCCAAAATTTTCAGTCCATCGTTCAAAACGACGTTTCTTTGGATGATTTGAGGTCCAAACTTCCTGGAAGATAGTTTCACGCGCACCTACTCGGACCAGTTGGTCGTATTAGCTGGAACAGGATGCGGTTGTTCCCTGTTGCAAAAGCTTTCCATTCATCGGCCTTTCGCAATCCAGCATCACTCTCTGACACCTGTATCTGTTGGCCGCTGTATTTTTCAATGTCTTCGGCCAAGCACCCGGAGAACCAAATGGGCGGTATTCTGGAAAACGATCAGCACTAAAAACTCTTCATAATCCTTCATTCCCTTCTGCCATGTCATGTTCTGTCTACCTTTAGGTTTCCACCACTCCGAATCAGGCGTGGTAGACAGCAACTCGGCATGTTTAGCATCCACCCTAGCTGGATGGGCTCCTCGAGCGAAGTACTTTCTGCTTCACCAATAATCCGATAACCTCATTGTGGATCCGCTGATTGCAGAAGATTCTATAATTATTTGACATCGGTGATCAGATATTTGACGGCCTCATATCCTCCCAAGTGGACAAGCCTTGCAAACGTACAACACCACAGCCCTAACTGCATTCTGATACACGAGTCCTTTGAGACCCAGTGCTATGTCTTTACGGTGCCACAAGTGACGCAGACTAGTAAAAGCAATCCTAACTTTGAGTTTCATGCATTGACTTCGTTTGTCACACTCCCGTCAAAGTCAGTGCAACTACAGAGACACACAGTGTTCTACAACTTTCAGTGTCACTTGAATTGTCAGGGACATAGATAAAGAAAGCGTTCAGCTGTAGCACCCTTCCGGTGCCTAGTTGCCATGCCACCCGAAGGGAGCTCGAGGGCTGGGATACTGCCAGGTTGCCCAAGCCTAGACAGGGGAAGTCGAGTGGCGGAGGTCGGATTCGAACCACGGACCTTCAGGTTAGTAAATCCGCGCTCTAACCACTTCGGCCCTCTCGCCCGCCCTGGCCATCTCGCCCGCCCAGGGACATGCTCAAGGGCTGTGGGTTTCTGAGGATGACTTCGCACCTTGTAGGTGTGAAGCATACGCCGAAGGATTGAACGACCCTGCTCTTCTCTTAAAATAGCAGCAATGTCATCTGCATTTTCCAGTTCGACAAGGTGCTCACTCGTAGAGATCTGCGAATCGGGGTTTTGGAGACCTTCGAGTGTTAGCCTCATTGCCTCATTAATGACGACAGTAAACAAAAATGGAGACTGGACACCCTCCAGGACATCTTTGCTTTGAAGAGCTCCCCATGTACTCACACCTACATGTATGTGAATACAAACAGCCCGTTGTATTCACACACCCAAGATCTGGTCGACTATTCTCAGAAAGAATGCAGTTAGAAAATAGGGCATCCGCCCAAATGCGTCTAGTTTTTCGACTGGGAATTCACAGTCATCATCCTTATGGCTCTAGACACCTTTGATAGTTGTTCTGTTCACAGGCGGTTATCATGCCCATTTACAAAAGGCTTGAATGCTGATAACTATCGTCTTACGCCTCTTCAGCCTTCTTCAAAGTCATAGGATGCATCGTGGCTGGCCAGATTTGGAACAGGCTGGCGCACAACTCAATGTCTGACTTTCAGCATCGTCTCAGTTGTAGGCACATCTCTGATGAGGGACCCATGGACCAAGGATGTCGATGTAAGGCGAAATTGTCATGCCTAGACCCCTCCAAGTTTATATTGGAATGCGCCATCATGTCCACCGGGAGCTACTTCCTCCGGAGTTAGCGGTGAAATCCATCTCTCTGGGACCTGTGTTGTACCTCCCTTAAGCACTGACCTCCCGTCTCTCTTCCTTACCTTGAAAATCCACTCATGATATGAACTTGTTGTTCGCACCGATGTGGCTCAGAAGAACTTCCCTAAACTACACAACGTACTCCCTCGGCTGCAACATATCTGCAGATCTGGACTAGTATTATCAGAGTCCATAGAGAAGACTTGATCTGTGAATGGCGGATGGAATTGATTACTGAAGCCAGCATTTGGTTGTCGTCCTCCTCACGGCTCTCATAGCAGTAGTGCACCAAAATCGTGTGACAAGTGAACGATCTGATGGTGATATTTCACCGTCACTCACGAATGGCGAAGATTCGGTTGCTTCGTGAGAAGTATTAATCTATGATGAGTTGATGAACGGCCAAGGAATCTTTCAAGCTTTGGATTCGGAGTTTCGGCGAACCATGTGAATAAATTCAGTTTTCGGTTAGTTACTCTACTATCTCTCTCATTGGCTTAATGTAAGGTGACCTTCCGTTTCCTTATTCATTTCAGACACGATCACGGACTACTCGGTCTTCCCGGAGGCTTGATCCGGAGGGACAGTCCTCGGACAATAGCTCTGAAGTCAGCGAGATGAATGGCACAAAAGAGGATGTTCGACCGCGCACACGTCTGGCCATGTCTCGGATGGAGGAGAAAATGGAGTTGCAAGAACTGAATGACCGCTTAGCGCAATACATCGATTTCATTCACCAGAATATGTTTTCCCCCGGTGTTTCCGGCGAACTTGATTTTCTGGCTGATTCAGTCAAGGTGAGTGACTTTCTGGATGCTAGACGAATCATCATCGCTCTGCTAATTGGCCATCTGTAATTCGTTTGGTGCAAGCTAGTGCGTTTGATGTTTGTTGGGGTGGATCAAGTGGCTAGAGCGCGAATTTACTGACCGGAGGGCCCGTGGTTCGAATTCGAACTCTGCCGCTCAACTTCCCCTGTCTAGGCTTGGGCAACCTGGCAGTATCCTAGCTCTCATGCTTCTTTTGGGTGCCATGGCATCTAGGCACCGAAAGGATGTTACAGCTGATTGCTTAGCTTTTTTATCTTATCTTTATTATGCGCTGTCTGTATTCAAAAGTACAAAATGTTGACGTCTTCGAACGTCTTAAATATTATGCCATCCTTGACGGGGCTGGAGGAATGCGAATTCAAGTTCTTCCGTTGATATATGCCGGACCATTTACTACCTGGCACTCGAGTCCTTAGCCAACACTACCAGCTGCACTTCCACTCTCATCTCCGACTTTGTTCGGTTGTTTCCTTAAGTTCCTTGGGGGTAAATGTGGTCTAATATGTTATATGAAAGGTTAGAATGGAACCCCCGGCCAAACTTGGCCCTGGACCGCTACAAAAACGCATATATTTGATAGTTTGTGCTGGGTTTACTGTTTACTTTTGGAGATTTTTGAATTCTATATGACCAGCTTCTGTGTTATTTATCTTGAATAAGGAATTTGGTCGTTTGACAAACGTGAAAAAGGGTGTACCAGAAATAGCAAGCAACGGTGCACATTTAAAATTCAGTTATCTTGTCGCAAATAACAATGTCGAGGGAGCCCTTCATGGAACAAGGGTCACATATCCATACCCCCTCTAAGAAGCCCGTTTCCTCTCTTTCCTTTGATGGATTGCTATCACATATCCATACCCCCTCTAAGAAGCACGTTTCCTCTCTTTCCTTTGATGGATTGCTTTCAGTCAAAGCAACTGTCATCAATCGCCATCGTAAACCAGGTTCGTCGACGGTTCTTCACTGTAGTCCAATCCACTAAAACTAAGTGGGAAAATGTGATAGTTGGATGCCTGAAAGTGCGTATGCTTCCGACTAGCAGACACTTTTACACAGCTCCCAGATCCTCCTTTTTTTGGAAAGGGGATATCACTGATTTATTGTGAACAATCTGCGGCTTTTTGCAAGCCCAACATCTCAGTTGAATAACTTATTGCAGGTGAGACTAAACAAGCATGTTTGTTGTCAATGAATGTTGTCACACATTTTGGGACTACACACTTTTCAGGTTTCCTAAGACTGTCTAGCGCGTGGATACAATCTGATAAACCGTTTCACTAAACTCAAACTCAGTTTCTGATTTACTGCCTTTGATCCACTTCGCCCAATTGCTTTAAACTGTATCGTCTATTCTTGGGCGAACTCTGATGATTGCTTTTTGCATTTCAAGGACAAACTGAGCGACCTGACTGGAGTCTACACAAGTGAACTGGATGCGCTTCGGCGAAATCTTGATAAAGTCGCTCTCCAGTTGGCTAAAAGCCAGGTGCAGTTGAAGACGGCGTCTTCGGCTCGAGATGAGGCATTGCGAGATTTAAATGCGGCTAGAGCACGAGAGGAAGAGAAATCCAAGGAGCTCTTGGCTCTAGCTGCGCAACTGGCCCGGGTGGAACGTGAGCTGGAAAATTCTCACGTAAGGACAATATTACTATTACTATATATTATAATAAAAATAGCATTCTTCTGAAGAGTTCACAAAAGTAGTTCACGTTAGTCGCAGCCTAGTATCTGTCATTATCCCCCCCGACGATAAGCTGTCAATCAGTTTCTGATGTTAGTCTCGTCTTGGAAAGGGTGTTGTACTCAGATATTTTTAGGGATGTCCCTGTTTGTTGTTGGAGTAGAAGCACTAGTGTTCAGTCGATGACATTCAAAGATAACAACCACATCGTCGATCATTTATACCAGTAAACAAATTCATACACAGTGCATTGGCTGTCGTTTTGTTTGCCGAATTACAACAACTATTTTGAAGATGGGAAGGCAAGTAACCAACAGCTGAATTGTTTGCAGTTATCTGGTCCACCTTCTGGGGTACACATGGATTTTGAAATGGCGGTATACCCTATTTATATGGTCCAATTATATTATTTTCCTAACCGCGATCTAAGCAGCTCAAATGAAAGTGTTTCCCCCTTGACTTAGGCGTCAGAAAGGTTTGTATTCCGCATGTAGTTGCCACGGCTTAATGTTTACCCCCATCTTTTAGAAGTTGCCGGTTCTTTCCGGAAGTTACACCTCATGGTGATGGCGTTGCGTGTGTCTCTCCGGGGTCGGACCGTCCTTTGGAACCACCCGTTTCTTCTGTCAAATGTCCCATTATTCGAAGCTTAGGATTGGCTCCTGAACTCTGCGATGCTGGAATTTTGTTCCGTGATAAAAATGGCGCACGAAAACTTGTTCGAATATGAGGCGGGGTCTGCACCATTCCCACATTGCATATGAGCCAAAACCAAATTTACAAGTGATGTTTGTAAGACCAACATGTAGTTAAGTGTAGTTTCACACATCGACTGGCTGTGGTCTCAACAACAGTCTGACACCAACAAGGACCTTCATCTGTCCGATCCGCTGCGAAAAGCTGCGGTCGGCATTGCCTGTTAGCTTGGATATCGCCCACGCCATAGCTACTTGCCAGCCCCGTACAGTCAACCTGTGACAAACGTTTCTTTGTAATAGTCATTGTTCAGATGTCTTCCACTACATGGCTGGCTAACAGGACGATTATGAAGTATCCAGCGTCTAGGTCATTATTTCAAGCTAGAATGATTTGATTTCACCGGCAGCCACCGGTGATTTACCCCGGATTTACTCCCTCCGGTGGCAGGATGGTCTGGTGAATGGCCCTAAACAGCCACTTTAATCGACTGTGTTAAGCTATCACTTTGGGTAGCGAATTGGAAAAGAGGTAGTGTATTTGAACAATGAAGGTAGTTGTCAAGGTACTCTGGTTTGAAAAACCGGTGGGGTTTCTTGTTGATGTCAGAAATCCAGCCTAACGTCAACTCATACTCGTTCATTCCATAGTTTTAACCTGAAATAACCTCAAATTTGTGGTAAAAATAACTGTACCGCGTCCTTTTTATTCCTCAGTTGTTGGTGGTACAAGTTTACAAAGTAGTGTGCAAACAAAATGAGATATAGCTCAATAGGTGTCGGAGTTTCGGTGCTCTAAACTTAAACACTGATAACCTTCGGTAGGTAAACGTTGCGCTCTTTTGAAAGTGGAAGTGACGATGCACATCTCCCCCCCCCTCAGTAAAAGCATTTCATTTGGTCCAGGAAGCCGTAATACTCATCCAGCATACAGGCTATATGGTGGAGTATGTGTGCCTGACACGTGGCTGTCTGCAACATCGCTTTCTGGGCGTTTTGTTGTCGCCAATGTCCATTCGTGAACACGTATGACGTATTCATGAAAGTGCAACCCCGGAATCGGGCTTCAAGCGCTTCAAGCTTCACTGGACGCTATAATCTGGACCGATACTGGTCGGGATTCCTCTCTCTTCCACTTACCTTGTCATCTTCCGCGCTGGACCGACCGGTTTTTCCACACAGTTGGATGTGTTCATTTTCACTCCCCGTGGTCACGTGGTCTACGGCATCAATCAGGCTTGTACATGTAGCTCTTTGTTGTTTTGTCTTCTGGAAACAGCTGACTCATGTGCAACTCCAAAGTGCGAAACGTGTAATTGTACACAGAACGGCACAGCCCGTGTGTGCTGCTTGTATCCGTGGCATTTGGCTTCTAATCGAGATTTATGGTGTGGTCCTCATGACAGCTCAGCGTGACCATATTGGCCTTCTTGGTTTTCTTGCCGAAACGTGTGAAACGGACCTGTTGCTACCGTTTCCTTTCCACAATGTTCATCATTTTGTTTTGTTGTTAGTTCTTCGTCATTTGAATTCGAGAAATATGGTTAACTCATGAATTATTCAGTACACTGGTGGGGAGCTTCTGTACTCTTGTCGCTTGAGTCGGGCGCCGATTTTTGATGTCCAATCTGTGGAGACCAACGATAAGACGAGGTGTGTTTGTGCGAGGACCACCCACTACCTACTTAACTAACTGGGCAGACAGATAAATGGAAACAATACTCCAATTTACGAATGCCTCTGATTCGTTCTCTGATTTGGCCGGTTTTATCCAAACCAACGCACCTAATAGAGCGTATCTTTGACTCGAAGGAAACTACTCACAAGGTTGTTGAGAACCTTTTGACGGCTCACGTGACCAGTTCCGCCCTTCTTCTGACTCATCGGGTACAGGCAGTCTGTGAGTTTCCGTCAACCGATCATGGGTTATCAAAGTAACCTTGTGAGAATATATACTGCGATATCTCGAATGTCGTGCCAACCGCTTCATGTGAGGCAGCATTTGTGCGGCACATTGATTTGAGAACTATCGTAAACGGGAAGTTCAGCAAAAATTCGCTAGATCGTTAAAGCGAGATGGTTGGAGCGCTAATTTGCTGACCGGAAGGTCCGTGGTTCAAACCCGACTTCTGCCCCCCGACTTCTCCTGTCTAGTATGGCAGCTGGTCACAGTATGCCAGCCCTCGTGCTTCCTTCGAGTGGTATGGCAGCTGGGCACCGCAAGGGTGGTACATCTGAGCGATTTTTTCCCGTTTGAGCCGCATCAGTGTGCAAATTAGTGCATTTCGCTTATTTTTGATTGTTCTCTGTTACAGTATACGGTACTGTTTAGAGCGGATCCGAAACGCACCAGTATCGGAAAAACCAGTCTGCGTACGGAAGCGCAACCCAAGTCCGCAGGAACAACAGCCGGTCGTGTGAAGGATGCACACATCTTCTGGGGGTGTCCAATGATTAACAACCATGGGTCGGGCGGGTACCATGTCTCTGGGACAACAGTCCATAGTTAGTGAGCAAAAGCTAGGGTCATAATACAGCTCAATAATTATGTGGGTCTCCTGTCAACTTATTAGAAGTCAGGTCAAAGTTCAAGGTTCTAACCAGGTTTTTTGTATGACTCTTTGATTGCCCCCTCTCCTTATCCCCGAGGCACCTGCCAGCATCTCGGATATCATACGTTCAGTCACATTTCGGCTACAACCGAATCCTTGGATTAAACGAAGTTTTCTTTAATTTTGTGGTTTTGAATTCTTCTCTCTATCAGCATTCAGTTTCTGTCCAGCCACTGTTTACCACCGCACATCCCCTCTTTTATCCAACAGCACATCGAAGACGAGCACGAGAACCTTCTCAAACAACACAAAATCCTCAAAACTCAACTGGAGCAAGAAACCGTTCAACGGACGGACCTACAAAATCGCTTGATGACCGCGACGGAACAGTTGGACTTCAAAGACAAGTTACTGAAAGAAGTATGACTACCTGTCTATCATTGTGTTGGCATTTGATACAGAACCCTTTCCACCATCATCATCAGCAGGCTTCTTTTATGACGTAAATGTAAATTCGACACGGTTATGGTTGTGATCTCACTCGAGGTCTCATTTTGTTAGATTCCGCCTTAGAGAAGACTGAATGGTCTCTAAATCATGGTTGTACGGCAGCGAAGCATCGGTGTTGAACACTGATGTCATGCTGTCGATGATGATGATGATGATGACGATGATGTTGCGTCTCATAAAAACCTTGCAACGTCGCACCGCCCAGCGCGTTGTTTAGCTGGCTTGTAAGCTGGTGACCTACTGACATGCATGCAGTCAGCGATTTTAACGTTTTTTCCGCAAGGTTGCCCGAGTTGCTTAGCAAGTAGCCATACTGTTGCTTTAAGCTCGAGAGGGGCGAGCGCGAATCTACTGACTGGAAGGTCCGTGGTTCGAACCCGACCTCTGCCTCTCGACTTCCCCTGTCTAGGCTTAGGCACTTTGGCAGTATCCCAGCCCTCGTGCAACCTTCGGGTGGCATGGCAGTTAGGCACCGAAAGGTGATACAGCTGAACCATCTCTTTAAGCTCGAGATAGCTCATTGCCTAAGTTGTAAGATTACTAAACGAAAGGTCTTTGGTCCTAATACAGCCCCGGCATTTCGGCTGCTCCTGTCTTGGGTTGGGCAACCTTGCAGTATCTCAGCCCTCGTGCTTCCTTCGGGTGACGTGGCGGCTAAGTACCGAGAAAGCGTGTTACAACTGAATAATTAGTATCTTTTGATTTTTCCCTTTTCCTCTGTCACGCCTCGTAGGAACGAGCCGCGTTTACCGCTGAGAACATTCAGATACAACTGAAAACGGTGGTCCAAGAAGCTCAGAAATACCGGGAAAAACTGCGGAGCAAATTGGACGAATTACGTAAAGAAATGGGAAATCAGATGAAGGACACGTTGGACAAATTGGAAAAAAATATGGAGGTTTGTGAAATTGCCGTGGTTTTGAAACCTCATCTGTCTGTGGTTTTTTCGGCACCTTACAAATACCCCAGAATAGAAGGATTCGCCCCGCCCCCCGTTTGTCTGGTTCCAAAGATATCAGCATTGAAATGTGATTGAAACTGATCGCACAGTCATCCCACTGTTTGGTTGGTTGGCGCCGGCCTTCTCGACACCTTTAGGTTATGATGCACATCAAGCTGGAATTCATTCTTTGCAGTACCGGTTCATCGCTCCTTCTGGCATGGTGCTTTTGAAGGGGACTCTCAGTGATGTTGACGGGTCTTTGAAGTTCTCTCTAGATGTCTCAATAAAGTACGATTCGTTTTAACTGTTGATGTCTTGATAGAAATCTTGGTATCATTCAATGTCGAATTAGAATGTCCCAGGGGCTGTCCGGCCTCTAAGATGAAACCCCAGTCACCCTTAGGTTTCTGTCAAGACACTTTGATATTTCAGTCGAGTTTTTCTTAGGATTTCAACGGGAATTTTTGTACCGAATACGAAAGCATCTTAAAAATAGGTGTTAGGAAAGCCAGTGCACAAGAAAGCGACTGGTCAGGTCAAGTTGGACTGCAGGTTCTCTTGTTGCTTCTTATAGCACACTATTGAAAATCTAACCTTGGGGCAACCTTAAAACTCGACCCAAGTCACTTTGTTCATCCAATATTTCGTACAATCATAAACTCCCCCCAGTAGAGGTCAATCCAAAGAAGGGGCAAGGACTCTTTGCCTCTTCTGGTAACATCTCTTGAAGAGGATTACTGTGTTTTGTGCACAGTGGCATCTTAAACTGTCTTGGTGCCATCCGATTGGCAGTCGGAATCGGTCTGCTTTTTTTATTCCCATCGGTTTCCTACACCTTTTGAAATGTGCTAGAGAAGTCCCTCATATCATATTTTTCACTTGTTAGTCAAACAACGGAAAACAGTGTTGCATTCCACATTGTGAATCGAGATGTCTGCAACAATTTGTTTTCCTATTGTCACGGCTTTGTGTCAGTTACTTAGGTTCTGCTGTCCAGGAGTTCGTTGACAAGAGTGCAGCTCTTAAGGATCCTCAGTCTAAACAGACCGATTGGCGACTTGTCCTAAGACAACCAATATGAAACGTGTGTTTTGTCTTTGAACGCACACACACAAAACTATTATCCTTCGACCTTCTTTCCTTCACCATCACGTTCATGGGAAACTCAGGAACAAATGTCCGAGCTAGGGAACTTTCCGATATATCTTCCAACGGCATGGTCGAGTGAAAGCGATGTTCGTACTGTCTCACTGTCGTTTGGGGGGAGGGAGATGGCTCAGTGGTTACATTGCGAATTTACTGACCGGAAGGTCCGTGGTTCGAACCCGACCTCCTCTGTCTAAGCTTAGGCAACCTGACAGTATCCCAGTCCTCGTGCTTCCTTCTGGTGACATGGCATCGAGAGAGTGCTACAGTTGAACTGTCATTNACGGAGCATGCGTATTGCTTACTTGAGGGAGCAGCGATTCATCATTTCTTCCGAATACATAAGCCCAGTTTATGTACATGGGTCTCATGCATAGCAGTTTTTCACAGTGATGCTTAGGCAGGTAGTAAACGTCATCACAGATTTCGCTCAGCGATTCACTAAAGCCTATGTCAGTCAGTAGCTGGGCCAGTCAAAAAGAAGTGTTTTTTACACATCCATTTTGCTAGCGCTCTAATTTGTTCTACGTCATCATCGTGCTTAACTGCAGTCCAAACATGTCAGTTCACCCGCTTCACAACGACGATTGATAATCACAGAGAATAAGCACGACGTTACAGCTAAACGTAAAACTAACTCCGAAAAAGCTGTTGATGTACTACCGCCTCGTTGCACATCCACACATCATTCAAGCATGACGTAGCTAGACAGAAAATCACCATGTCGCGCAAGCACACGTTTGTTGCCGCACGACTGTGTTTGACGTTTAATGGTAGTCTGGCATTTTCGGATACGTTGCTGAGGATCGGCTACCTCTTCAAGCGAATTTCCCGTGTTTGTCAGTTTGCTTTTATGGAGTGGGCGTCTTTGCATACTTCGTTGTTGGCTGGGTGATCAACGAAGATAACTCGAGATAGCTCAGTGATTGGAGCGCGAAATGGCTGACCACGAGGCTCGTGGTTCGAACCCAACCTCTACATCTGGACTATTCCTGTTTAGTCTTGAACAACCTGTCTGTATCTCAGTCCGCCTACTTGCTTCGGGTGGCGTGGTAGCTGTGCATCTGGCAGGGTGTTACAGCGAGACGGCTCAAGTGGTTGGAGCGCGAATTCACTGACCGGAAGGTCCGCGGTTCGAATCCGGCCTCTGCTTCTCGACTTCCCGTGTCTAGGCTTGGGCAACCCGACAGTATCCCAGCCCTCGTGCAACCTTCGGGTGGCATGGCCAGCTAGGCACGGAAGGGTGCTACAGCTGAATAGCTAGTAATATTATTGTTATTGGTATCATTATTACTCACGGACGAACTCGGATAAAGCATCTCGGGTTTAGCGCACCCGATAGGGGCAGTTCACCGAGCATACACTTTCGTATCTCAAGATTTCCGTGGAAAATTGGGACCAGCTAAATGCGAACAACCGTTGTTGTTCATATGCACAAACCGGCTTTGTGCATTCAGAAGTTCGTGTGTGATTTTTGTGTAGCGTATTCCACCCCACTTGACTCACGAAGCATGACCACCAGTCATTGATTAACTCGTGTGATTCGCTATCTACTTATCACTCAATCTCATGTGTCTTAATCTCCACTCCGAGTGACAATCAGATGGGTCATCAGACAAAAAGTCTCTTTTAATGCAAAAACATTCTTTTAATTGTGTCACTGTTTTTTGTTGATTTATCCCTCATGAGGGCGAGGTGGCTCAGTGGTAAGAGCGCGGATTTACCGCTCGGAAGTTCCTTAGTTCGAACCCGACCTCTGCCTAGGTTTGGGCAACCTGCCAGTATCCCAGCCCTCGTACTTCCTTCGGGTGGTAGTTAGGCACCGGAGGGTGCTGCAGCTGAACGAGTTTTTCTCCCTTGTACTGCTCTCCCTCAGAAGGAGCGTTTTGCAACCCCTCTTTGGGTTTAGATGAGGAACCCATATGAAGAACACCCGCACACGCATGCGGGTGACAGTCGATTGCTTAGTATTACCATTATTATTATTATCATTATTATTATTAATATAGTCACATGCCAGCAGTCTAAGATCACCCAATCAATAGCCAGTCTGGGTGCGCCTTACATTACGTCAATTCCACCACACTCACGACTTGTCTGTCGTATAGAGCTGTGTTCTTACTCTACTAGGCTGCTAATCTCATTGTTTACATCCAATTAGTGTCGACAACTCATCGCACCGGCATGCGTAAACATGATCAGGTTTCATGACGCAAACTACACCATTTCTACAGGATAGACATCCCGTACCGTCTCACCTGGCGCCCAGCTGCCCGCCTTCAGAGGTTGAAACCGGTGAGACAGGTCATATCCTCCAATCGCGAGGGCACTTTTGGCATACAGCTTCGCTGTCACACGTTAAATTACTACAAACTGCTCTTACACAGTCGCAATCACATCGGGTTACACATGTAGGGTGATAATAAATAATCACTCAGCTGTCGCGCCCTTTCGGTGCCTAGCTGCCATGCCACCCAAAAGGAGCACGAGGGCTGGGATACTGCCAGGTTGCCCAAGCCTAGACAGGGAAAGTCGAGAGGCTGAGATTGGGTTCAAACCCAGGGACCTTCCGGTCAGTACATTCGCGCTCTAACCACTTGGGCCATCTCGCCCCTACATATAGGGTGTCTGGTAGAGTATTCGCTCGGTAGCGTTCGACTGAGGTCTGAGGTAGAGCAAGTAGTTGATGTTGTGCATTCGCCAGTCGAGAAGCAACATCAGCAACTGCGTTAGCCAAAATACGATTTCTATAAAAAAAACTGTCGAACGACCTGGCATCCTCGATACCTGTATGCAAGTAGAGTGTACAGCACTTCGGCCTGCCAAGACCATCCACCCTTGAGTCTCATTATATTTGAAGCCGTCTGACTGTCTTAAAACGGTACCGATCGTCGCTCACCATCTGTGCGGGAGAAAAGAGTTCGAATACAGCCATCTTATTGATAGAACTTCTTTCCTATCCTAGTCTCAAGCACTTAAAGCGCAGTACTTCAGAGTACAGCACCGTGGCGCTTATAACTGAGGAGTAACAGAAAAATTAAAAGAATAATGTTTCTACTGTAATACTAGGTGTCATATTACCCGAAGGAATTACCAGTGCTGGGCTACGGCCTAAATTTCGACAGCTGCAGTCGAGATGTCCCGTTTCATTCATTGGGTTCGACAACATTGGCCTTCGCTAGCAAACCAACATTTTCAACCAAGTTTTTGACGTGATACCTTTCAAAATGAGAGTTTAAATTCATTCGTTACGTGTGGAATGGAAAGCATGTTGGTAACGAGTCTAAATATTGATCTGTTCGCCGAGCTTGGCAGTTGGTTTGCAAACGTTCCGTCAAACAAAAAGGTACCTTGTGAACCGGTCAAGAGCTACAACGCAACAGACGGACCAATCAATTTGAAGAAAGATGTCTACTAAAAGTGGGTGTCCAGTCAACCAACCAAATGGCATGATGACTGGCTGGAACGCAACACACGAAAAAAGCAGAATGAACTAATTGTAATCAAGGAAACGAACTGCTGAATTGAAGCTGTTAAACGAACCAACCACATTCAAGACAGTCAGACCAAAGCGCAACACAATTCCCGAAATAAGTGATCAACTTATGTGCTAGATAACTCACATGTTGCGAATGTTAACTACACTTCAGAGACTCACAGGCGCAAGTAGAAACGGAGGGATTGCCCACCCAACTGTGCACTGACAATAATTATTCTCAAACCAACTGCCAAGGTTGCTGAACAGATCAACTGCCACCTGTTCAACAGTCAAACGAGAATAGGTACTTGTGCCATCACGGGCCTAATGCTACGTAAAATGAGGTAAGGCAGGTGCAAGGTTATGCGTTCCTTTCAACCAAGGACTATCTCAGATAGACACCACTTTCTGCGATTGTCAAAACTAATTTTTGTAGAGTGGTGGCTGCGGAGGGTGGGGCGAGATGGCTCAACTGGTTAGAGCGCGAATTTACTGACCGGAAGGTCCGTGGTTCGGACCCGACCTCTGCCTCTCGACTTTCTCTGTCTAGACTTGGGCAACCTGGCAGTATCCCAGCTCTCGTGCAACATTCGGGTGGCATGGCAGCTAGGCACCGGAAGGTGTTACAGCTGAGAGACATTGTAGGGTGCGTCGGAGAGTTTTTTGCCCAGCTATTTGTTTCTTATAAACCAGTGAGTGTTTCAGAGACTCGAAAATCAACAGTATTTCGATAGCCCTGTCTCAGAACGCAGTGGTGCACATGTTTGGCCCACCGGTGTTGCTCACCGACGCTGCACACTAAATCCGATGAACCAATTTTCGACCAATCTGTAGACATGCGTGTTTCGTGTTTTTTTTCTTCAAATAGAGCCGTACGATTGCCACTAGCAACACTTGTGTCGAACAGGCTGCACAACCATGGTTACATGTGTCACTATCCCTTTTCCTCCTTGTTTTGACGTTTTCTATCTTGGATTTTATCATTGTTCCTTACTGGACGGCTTCTTATTTTCCTGCATAGCTTCGTGTGACAAGTCTCGTTAGTTTGAAAGAAAACAGCAGTGCACTACCTTTCAGTATGCCTGCGAACTAAGGTTTTTCCTCACATAACCCCCAAATTAGGTCCAACTGAAAGCTGAAAAACAGCGAACCAGGGCAGCAGAACGAAATGCAGAATCCATCAAGGTTGAACGTGATCGAACATCTACTCTGCTGACCTCACGTTCGGACGAGCTAGCTCGTTGTCGCACCGAGCTGGGAGAGGCCCAACGTACTGTGGACCAGTTGAATTCAACAATGAGTGAAATGGAGAAGAAACATCAGGAAGCACTTGACCGACACCGAAGTGAGTTGGATCGAATCCTATCACTGCTGGACGAGAAGATCCGTGAATCAGCCGAGTTGGCCGGGATCAAGGTGCAACTTGATGCCGAGTTGGCCACTTATCGATCGCTACTGGAGGCTGAAGAATCACGGTGAGCAGTTTTTGACTTACGTGCTAATGTTGTTATCCATTGTCATCTATTCTAAAAATATTGCTTAGCAATTCCATGCCTGAATTCCAGCGTGCTGGTTTTTGTGGAGACTTGATCATAGTAGCTTTCAGTCGCATCCTATAAACAGGCCATATAACTCTTGCGTGACAGTGCTCCTGTTTGCCCTCCATTCCTTCACGGTCGAACTCGTTCGGATGACCGAATTCTCCTTCCAGAAACACCTAGTCACTCAATCATTCAATCAATCGATCTTTCAGCGGTTACACCTTTTCGATGTGTAAGTGCCGTGCCACCCGACGGAAGCACGGGGACTGAGATACAACCTAGATAGAAGCAATCGAGATGGGGTTAGATTCGAATCACTAAGTTGCAACTTTAACCAGTGAGCTATTTCGAGCTCACCTAATCACAATGTATGGATTCTGCTTGTTTCTTAGTGATTATCAAGAACTGTGGGAGGCAAGGTGGACCAAGTGGTTAGAGCGCGAAGTTACTGACCAGAAGGTCCGTGGTTCGAACCCGACTTCCCCTGTCTAGACTTAGGCAACCTGGCAGTATCCCAGCCCTCGTGACTCCTTTGTTTCAAGTTAGGGCGAAATGATGAAACAGTTCTTGGGGCGAGATTGCCCAAGTGGTTAGAGCGCGAATTTACTGACCGGAAGGTCTGTGGTTCGAACCGGACCTCTGCCTCTCTACTTCCCCTGTCTAGGCTTGGGCAACCTGGCACTATCCCAGCCCTCGTGCTTCCTTCGTGTGGCATGGCAGCTAGCCACCCGAAGGGTGTTACACCTGAGAGATTTATTTTTTTAGGGGCGAAATGTATATTTTAGGAGTGACTGGAGGATTTAGAGGCTTTCTGTGGTGGTTGTGTTTATCCCACCGACTGCTAAAGTGAGGTACTATTTGTCCGCATTTAACGAGGGCCTGAACTTCACTGAGTAAATTTTTGAGCCCCCCACTTCTCTGCAACACGTTGGTTCTTTTCTCTCTCTTGAAACTTTTCCCATTCATTGCTTTATTTCGGTCAGATGCCATTTGTCTCCTCCCGATCAACGCCTGACTGCAAAGCCACTGATTAAACGAGGCGTCAAAAGGACCGTTACGGAGATCGATACTAACGTCGATTTGGACGCTTTGGATTTGCGCTCCTCCCTTAGTTCGTCCACTGCGGCTGAACGAAGGTCAAAGTATTTCGGACGAAGGGCGTCGGGAACCTCGATCCGTATCACGTGTTCCTCCGACGGTCCAGTGCATTTTGCAAGTGCCGATCCATCCGATGGTCTTGTGCGGATATTCAACGCAAGTGACGACGTAAGTCTGTTTGTTGGATCTTCACGGTGTCTTTGATAAGGTCCACTGTGACGGACGTGTGTTTCATGTGAACACTTGCTGTTAGTCATTCTTGAAATTCATTAATCACCTCAAGAGGGACGGCCAAGGTTAGTGGGTATTTGTCCACTCAGAGTGGGATCGACACTGTCTAGTGGTATACACTATCGTAGACTGTTCAGGAAGGAGTTGGAAGGGACTGCGTTCAGTCTCGTCGCTTTCCAAACATGGATGAGTACTCCATTCCTTCTATCTGTCCTATCAAAGGTCGTTCCTATGGGCGATTGGCGGCTACAGTTTGGACCGACACTGCCGGGTGCAACAGATCATACTGTCCTCTACACGTTCCCCGAGTCGCAGCAATTGAAACCACATTCGGAACTGCAGGTTAGATCTCCTTTTCCATTTTAAATATAGGCTTTCTTGTTATATCGTCCCTTCTCAGCCTGTATTCTCTTCATACCAAAGGCTTTTTACGCTTAGAAATGCCCTTTCGTTCGAGACGGTAGGGTGTCCTGATAGGTAGCAGTATATGTGAATCTTCTGGCTTTTTTCAATGGTAACTCAAGGCTTGGACTTACAGTTTCGCGGACCACAGATATTTCGATGAGTACAGAGTTATCTGGGGAGACCACTAATACTTATCTTCGGTCATTCGATGCACCCTCTCAAGTTTACGCTTAGTTGATAGATCCGAGATAGCTCGTGTCTAGGCTTAGTGGAGTGGTATCTAGGAGGGGTGTTGCAGCTGAACTACTATTTTCTGTTATTTTTACCTCAGCGACTCATGGACAGACATTGTATGCATTTGCAAACATAATTCACATAAAAGAAGTATGTTAACTTTGCAAAACCATTGCCCGCATCTTGATTCATCTTTGTCTTCATTGACAGCAATACTAGCGCTCAACTGCCATAAATTTTTTATTTGCGTAGTTCATGATTGTATGTGGGCTAGTATGCTGACGCGAGAACAATTAGAATTTTCGACTAAAGTCTTTGGCTCACGAGCCTGACGACAAGGTAGCACTGATTGGCGGGAGACTCCTCGAGTAGCCCAAACGGTTGGAACAAGTTGCCACACTTAATCCAATCCCAAACTGGGCGGGCGGAGGAGGGTAGGAGACTGTTTTTCAGACCTCCACCCATTAACCAACGTGGTAGGGGATACTCTCTGTGACAGCTGAGTGGGCATCCTCCAACGCAACTCAGTGGGTTGCTGAGGTGCGCAAAAAGTGTCACACGACGATAAAATGTCCAGTCTCTTTGCGACGGGGATTTCGAATACGAGCTCGTCCGAATATTATCCAGAAAGTTGAAAATGTTTACAAGCAATTACAGTGCGACAGTGAGGAGATGCTACATCCCAGAACTTCTAACTTAATAGCAAACCCGTCTCACAGAACGTGATACGATTCGCATTGTGCCGACCAATGATATCTGGTTGATGGCTCAAGTGGTTAGAGCGCGAATTTACTGACCACGAGGTCCATGGTTCGAACCCGACCTCTGCCTCTGGACTTCCCCTGTCCAGGCTTGGGCAACCTGGTAGTATCCCAGCCTTCGGGTAGCATGGCAGTTAGGCACCGATATACGGCATCCTTGAGAGATAGTATGTTCTCTTGTCACTCTCTCCGATTTACATACGTAAGTTCAGATGGCCCGGTTAGGGATGAAATCGGGAATATTCAGTCGACTTTGCCAACCTCCACCATATGTGGCGCTGGCATCAGTTTGGTTGTTCCAGATCTCTCCTGCTGTAGGGGTCAGGCCAATGTGCGCAGATGTCCGAAAACTCTGTGTTCGTCTGCTCGTGTCCTGAAGCATCACACGGTTCTGGTTCGGACGTGGGATCAGTCACATTTGGGCAACTGGCTGTCGGGAAAAATGATAAACTCAGACGGTCACGTTCTTTATGTCAAGTTATTCCCCACACTGCGTTAGGGACCATTTGCATCACAGCCTCTCTGACCGTGCCGTTTACGGAATGAAAACGACCCAGGTTCGCCAGCCCACAAATTGACAGTGGGCATAAAAATCCTCAGTTGCGCTCTCATTCGCCATCTCCCCAAATGGGGAATTGGGGACGATCCCAGTCAAGATCGAATCCACCACCTTTGACGCGTGGTTGTCGTCATACTTAATTGGACAAATAGAACAACAGAACAACTTGTACCCTCATCATCAGTGCGTGGCTATTGTCCCACAACTTCACGCATCCTCATGAGTGATCGCTCCACCTTCGTACGCCGGTCGTACTGGATTTATAGCCAACCAATATACGAATAAAGTACTGTACCAAAAAGCTAGGCACCCTAACCATAATGTGTTGACATTTTGTACTACAAAGCGACTCTTTAGGAATCGTTGCGTCAACAGTCTGCCCAACAACTGACAAGGCTTTCGCCAGACTCCGCCTTACGGGGGTACGCATCAACTCGTCTTGTGGTGGTACCATTAGGACACGGTTTTGTGGTGTATATTATGCTAAATCAACCACAGTTTGCCGAACACTTCTATTTTCCCTTCAGTTGCATTTATGCTCGTCAGCGGGTGACCAGGTAGATCACATTCCTGTGCAAAAGCGACGCCGCCTACCTCCTGCCAAGCTGTACTTGATCACAGACGCACCCATCTGGCAACCGTACAACTCGGCGCTTTCACTGCTGGATTCCGATGGTTCGGTAAGTCTTTCAGAACACTGAAAACGTTATTTGCCCTCTCACCTACCCGATAGTCGCTTTCCCCATTTCATCGCATCGAATTCATCCTGTTCAATCTGCACAACTTTTTTCGCGCTCCTGCCCACATTCCATCAGTTTGAACAAGTAACTGTGCGTGATGTGTTTGTTTCTAATTATTGTTCCGGTACTGTTGATTTCACAAAGGTCGTTTTGTTAAGCTGGTTGACCACAATCGTCTTTTGTTCCCTTTTCGATGAGCAGTCGAGTATTTAAGCGAGATTCCACTTTTCAGTATCCACGTTTTTTGTAGGTTCGTGCAGTCTGCGAGATCAAACCGGCCGGTGTGATCCACCCGGCTGCATCGGCTGGTTCCGTTTTAGGTGGCAATCAGTCGAACATCTACTCGTTCCGAATCACTTGCGAGGCGAATGGTGATGTGCACTTTGAGGCTGTGGAGTCCGGCGAAGGTATCTTGCTCATCCGAAATGCCGGTACAAAGGTGAGTTGAGTCAGCTGTTCTTGTTGACGGAGCATTCGAGCCTCATTCGTTATATTTTCCGATTGTGTGAACTGTAACAATCTTTTCCAGGTAGAATTTATGTGAACAACTCCGATTCAATACACTCAGATGGATACATCGTTCGTTCAGCCGTAGCACCTTTTCGGTGCCTAACTGCCATGCCATCCGAGGGTTGCAAGAGGGCTGGGATACTGCCACGTTGCCCAAGCCTAGACAGGGGAAGTCGAGAGGCGGAGGTCGGGTTCGAACCACGGACGTTCTGATCAGTAAATTCGCGCTCTAACCACTTGGCCAATCTTGTCCCCGGGTACATCTGAATACATCATCACAGAACGTACCAATAACGAGAATAACCATACCCTTCTGATTTGTCCGAGCTCGAGATAGCTTATTGGGTAGGGTGCGAACTGACTGACCGGAACGCTCACAGTTCGAACCGAACCTTAGCATCCCGACTACTCTTGTCTGGGCTTGGGTAATCTAACTGTATCTCAGCCCTCTTGCTTCCTTCGGGTGGCATGGCAGCTATGTGGCGAAAGGGTGTTCCAGCTGAACGATTATTATTAAGTCATTAAATCATCCAATCTGTTACACTAGTTTTGGAAATAGACCAATCAGTCGCAGGTTTCAATGCTTTTGTTCGTGAAAATGAGGTTAGTCTACGCTATGCACTTGTTTTATCCTTGTCGGGACTCATCAGTGGTGTACAACTCACGGATCTCAAGGACGATTCGAGTTGAAAACTTTAGGGATATCTGGTTCAACTCCACCATCTGGCTACGAGTAGCCAAGACGACTTCTATTTGGACAGCTCCCCCATTCGTTTTTGTTGACTTGATGCCGAGAGCTGATGAATGAAAGCCAGTTTCATTTCCGACATGCATCCGGTTGGTCCTCACGTTCATTACTTCGGATTAAATTCCCTGTTGCCTTATCTTCGAATCGGGACCTAGAGTTGGAAAACGGTCTTCTTATAGCCACTTTTTTTATCTTGTTAGACTATTGACGTTGCAGTTGCAACGCTGCCTTTACCGTTTGCTCTCTCTCTCTCTCTCCTGTCTAGACTGTTCCACTGGATGGCTGGTACTTGACGTTTAAGACGGAAAATCACTCGGTGAATGTCCCCTTGGCACCACAACATACGGAGATAAAAGCAGCGCAGGAAATTCGGGTATGTCTTTGGTTTGTGTATCGCGCTTCTTTTTTCGTATTCGACCTTGCAGTTCGACTTGCCTGGCAGTGGCTTCGTTTCCCATCCCCTTAAATAAGATGACACACTTCTATGGTGTTTTTCCGTTCTTCTTTAGGGGTTTCGATACTGGTATTCCGATTTTATAGCTTCTCGCGCTGCGGTATACTGCCAAAGTGGCTCAACCAACCTTGGTTGGTGATTGATTCGTGACGTATGGCTATTTGACCTTTTTAAAGTGTGCAGTGTGGGACCATCATACCATTCAGTTAGTTACATTCTGCTTGGGTCGATTTCTTTTTTACACAGCGGCGGGTCACTTGGAGCGGTTACCAACGCCGCCGGCATTTTGAGAAGTGAAAATTGCGTGATCAATTGTGCTGTTTCGTTTGATTTTGTAGACTCTGGATGAATTGTTGTGCGCCGTGCCTCTCCGCTTTAGAGAACATCCTCGAGGATAATTCGAGAGGGTAGTATCGGTTCTCGGGATTCTCTCTCTCTCTCACAAGAGCATGTTTTCTGTCAAATTAGCGAAAAGTTTAGGTGGTATTCGTGAAATACACTCATTTGCACGTCGATTTAGTTTAACCTAGGGACTCATCAAACATCAGAATGGAACGACCATCTTGAATAAAGAAGAACGCCTCGACCGGTGGGCTGAATACTTCGAACAACAACTGTCGTGGCCACCAGCCGGCACTCATCTAGAGCCCACAGGTGAAGTAGAACCCTGGACGGTGAACGTGGAACCACCTACGGCCTCGGAGGTTTACCACTGCATATGTTCTCTCAAGCGCCACCGAGCTCCCGGTCCGTATGACCTTCCACCCGCACTGTTCAAAGACGGGGGTGAAGTCCTCAGTCAGTGCTTGTCCGATCTGTTTGGTTGCATTTGGGAAAAGGAGTCTATCCCAGACAACTGGGGAGAATCAGTGATAGTGCCCATTTTCAAACGAGGGGCGCGTAGTGAGTGTGCCAACCGTAGGGGGATCAGCCTGACTCCGGTTGTAACGAGACTGTTGGCGTCAATTGTGCTTCGTCGCCTTACGGTGGCTTGTGAGACACTGACTCGAGAGCAGCAAGCGGGATTCCGGCCTGGTAGGGGTTGTGTTGACCAAATCTTCACACTGCGTCAGGTGCTAGA